GAAAGGAACAGGATCTCCTGAGCAAACTGGGAGCATTGGGGGGGGTAGGAGAAAGATGAGGGGAGAAGGGGGAAGGAGAACACGAGGGGGCAGGATGATCGAGTTGGGTAAGAATAGAGAAGGAGGGCAAGAGATACCATAATAGAGGGAGCCATTATAGGTTTTACGAGAAATCTGGCATTAGAGAAATATCCAGGTATCTACAAGGATGACCCCCAACTAAAAGTCTAAGGAATAGTGAAGAGGCCACCTTAAATGACCTACCTGTATAATGAGATTGATGACTACCTTAAATGCCAACCTAAAGCCTTCACCCAGTCCCTGATGGAAGCAGAAGCAGACATTCACAGCCAAGCACTGAGCTGAACTCTTAGAATCCAGTTGTAGAGAGGGAGGAATGATGAGTGAATGGGTCAAGACAATGCTGGGGAAACCAATAGAAACAGCTGTCTTGAGCAGTCTGATAGCTGGGGAACCAACATAGGACATACCCAGGACTCCTGAACGCAGGTGTCAGTTAGGAGGCCTGGACAGTCTATTAGGCCTCTAGCAGTGGAACCAGTCTTTATCCCTAGTGCATGAATGGATTTTGGGAACCCATTCCCTATGCAGGGATACTCTCTCAGCCTAGATACACAGGGGTGGGCCTAGGTCCTTCCCCAAATGATGTGACAGACTTTGATGATCCCCATGGGAGACTTTACCATTCCTGAGGAGTAGATGGGGGTAAGATGCAGGGGTTGGTTGGGGGCATGGAAGGATGGGAGGGAGAGGGACCTGAACTGGGATTGGTATATAAAATACAATTGCTTTTAGTTTAAGTAAAATTTTATTTTTTAAATAAGGGTGTGAAGTCTTGAACCAGCTGTGGGGCCATATAGTTATAATGATAGCACTCAAGAGGCTGGGGTAGGTAGATCATGAGTTTGAGACCACATGGATCTAAACAACAACTGCTAGCCAACCTGGGCTATACCATAAGACTGTTTCCAAACCAAAAACCAACCAAACAAACAAAAGACACCTCTGTAGAACAAAAACGAAGAGGCAAAGGACAATATCCTCTCGCTTGCCGTAACAAGGCTAGAACTGGAAAAATGTTATCAGAACAACAAGACTCAAAAAGACAAATGGCAACCTATTCTTACTCAGTTGTAGAAACTAACAAATAAGTTTGTCACATAGACAGAGAGACCATATTACACGGGTCGCTGGATGTTAGGAAGACCAGGAGGCAGGGGAATACCTAAAGTGGGTTGTGTTCTACTACACAATGGAGTAAATTTGGTCTATGCCCATTAAGTAGCTCCTTTAAGACAACAACAAGAGAAAAATTGAAAGCATTCAACACTTAGTAGTAATAGTATCTGAGGAGATGGAAATTTGACTCATTTGATTTAATTTAATCATTGCAGTTTGCACATATGTATATAAAAATTTAATACTGTGCTCCAAAGAAACATGAAGACATATTTACCATTTATAAGATAAAAGTTAATAAATGAAAATAATCTGAAATCTACATGTTTGATACAATTAACAAATAAGGTTTCATTGGATGCTCCTTATGTATTCTGACCAAGCAGAACACAGTTAGTTACTTAGTTAGAAAGTTTGAGTGTTAATCTGGTTCATGTAAAAATTTAATAATATAGCATAAATTTGCAGTCTGAGGCTGCTCTGTAATATCTTTGACAGAAAGAGTGCAATGGAAATCTTGTGCCCAATTCCTTGAGGTTTGGTTGGAAGGAAGGTTGACCAGTTACCAGTTTTCCCAAATTGGTCTTTAGTTCACTATTTGTTTTATTTTCTCCCCCTCCCTACTTCCATCTTTCCCCTTCTCATCTTTTTTCTTCTTTTTCTCCTCAAACAAATATACCCCTCTTAGACAAAACACAAACAACAACAACAACAAAAACTCAAAAAAACAACAAAAAACTCCCTTGTGGCAGCATTCACATGGTAGTTCACTGTTTTTTACATCTACCATTATTTATTTGGAGATATTTGGAACAATCTGATGAATACTCTAAAAACGTAGAAGTCCTTTCCAATGCGGCGACAATAGGGTGTGCTATTGTACATCAAGCATTCCTTTAGTTTTAAAATATTAGGCACTACAATCAAAATAAATATCATGTCCCCCTCTTTTGCCTCTGAGGTAATCTGTGGAATTCTTTTGCTGAATTATTATGATTAAGATGAGATTCCTCAAAAAGAAAAAAAAAGAAGAAGAAGAGGTTTCTCTGGGAAATGCTCTGTAATCTGGACAGAAAATTATAAGATAAAAGATTATAATTAGCAACTCAATAGATAAACAAATGTAGCAATAGATTATTTTTTAGCCTTAAAGCCCCACACAGGAACCCATACTTGTAATACCAGCACTTTTGAGGCAGAAGTAGAAGTGTTGTTATGAGTTCAAGGTCAACCTGAGCTACAAAATGAGTTTCAGTTTAGGCAGGGATATAGAATAAATTATCTAATGATGAAAACATATTTACCATAACTGAATTTTACATTTCAGATGGTTAAAATTATGAACTCTGCAATTTGCTACACATACTTTTTAGAATTTAAAGAAACAAAAGCCTTACAATATACCAAATGTACATTAAAAGAGAACAAATAAATCATAGAACATGGAAATATTAAAAACAAACAAACAAACAAACAAGCAGTTTGAGGCCAGCATGGTCTATACAGTGAGTTCCAGGCTACTCAGGATTACATGGACTATAACTCAAACAAAAACAAACAAACAAAAATCCCCAAAATGAAATAAACAAAACAACAACAAAAGAAACGTTGAGGTAGGGTTAAGATAATAGTTCAGTTGGTAAAGACCTTGCCTTCCATAAAGACCTGGGTTTGATCCTGGCTAGGATCCCCTGCTATCAGACTGCTCAGGTCAGCTGTTTCTGTGGGTTTCCCCAGCATGGTCTTGACCCCTTCGCTCATCACTCCTCCCTCTCTACAACTGGATCCTGGGAGATACTCCAAACAAAATGACAAAAAACAAGGTAGACGACATCCAAGAAACATTAGCTGAGGTCGTCCTGTAGCCTCCACACCTATACATATGAATTGCCCACCACAAGCACTTGTACACACATGCACCTGTGAATGTGGAGGACCACACACACACACACACACACACACACACACACACACACACACACACACACCTGTACACATAGACACCTGTCCATACCCGAGAGACAGATCTCCATGTGCCAGTTCATGGTGCTGCTCACACCATTTGGGAAGAAGCAGAGTCAAGCAGAAAGGACAAAGCTCGGTAAGATGCCATTTGTGACAACAGTCATGTATGTATGCATGCCTGCGTGTGCACTAAGTTGTCAGGGAATTGAAAGGTTTTATCTCTAGAGCTACCTTTGTGAAGGAATGAAACTTGCTGAAGACTGCTGTGTTTCCCGCTTTAGATTGCATTTGAACATACAATGTTTATATGAACTCACAGACAGGATTGTTCAGTTGGTAAAAATAAAGGTAATTATGTGGATAAAAGTAGCCATAGCAAAGTATTAAGTGAAAAACTCTGGTTCAGAAATATTCAAAACTTGCCTAATGGTGTTACTGACTATAAGGAGCAGGACAGTTCTGTGCAATATAGACTTTAATTTGCTTAAAAACAATCCAACTGCCTCTCCCGTGGCCAATGCTGTCTCACAAAGGCTTATGTCTCATAAAGGCTTACTTGCTTCCATACTACAGCTTCTAGAATATTCTAAGATTAAAAAAAGAGCCCAATAGCTTTAAAGTCTAAAAGCCTTCAGAGTCCACATTATAAGTAACTATTAAGTTTTGCCCATGTTCATGCTGCTGTGTATAGCATGAACAAAGCAGGAAGCAAGGTGTTTTGGTATCTACTCACACCGTGGTCTGCCTTCCAGAAAAGTCAGCCTTTCTATAGCCCATTACTAAGAATCTACCAACTCCTAGCGACTTTGGTAGATGGCGAAGGCAAAAACCAACAAGATGGGGACTCTGCCCTGGAGTCAATGACAGAGAAGGTGGAGAAGCCCACTGTGTCTGTGCAGATCCCTCATTGTCTGCTGCAGAAACAAGCCGCTCTCAGAAGCTGTCCCCAAGACTCAGGCACCACCGTGTCACATCCTACATAGAGTGGACCCACCCTGATTATTTGTTCTCCCTTCTGTGTTCAAAACTAAGAAGATTAACTAAGAAGAGTTTATTGTTGCTGTTTCTGGTGGTTTGGGTGAAGATGGCCCCTATAGGCTTGTATATTTGAGAAGGTGGTTTCCAAAGATTAGGAGGTGTGTAACCAAAGGTGGGCTTTGAGGTTTCAAAATCAGGCCCAGTCTTTCTGTCTGCAAACTGTGACTCAGATGTGAGATCCTGGCTACGGCTGCAGTGACATGCCGGTCTGCCCGCTTGCTTCTGTACTCCTGGCGGTGATGATCATGGACTCTCTCTAAAACTACAAGCAAGTCCCTAAATAAATGTGTTCTCTCATAGGCTGCCGTGGCCATGGTGTCTCTTCACAGCCACAGAATAATAACTAGTGTACCGCTGCTGCTGTCATTTCCAATAAATAGTAGTAAGCATTGACTGTATGTCAGGAGGAAGGCCAGATGTTGGTGACAAGATGGTGAGCATCATCAATACTGTTCCTACTTATGTGGAATGCACCTTCCTTCCAAATTCCCACCACTGCTTCACCACTAAGATGTCAGAACACAGACTGCAAAGGGGGGGGTCAAATGAAGTTTTAACTATACAAATGCAATTCAAAGGTGTCCCCAAGGGAAACTGACATCAAACAATAAGCATATACACAATTAATTAGCCTAAGAAAGAAGAAACACAGGAAACTTAAGATCAAAAGGAAAGGGCCAGAGGGGTACCTATTGATCGAGTGAGCTGTCTAATAATGGCTGAACCACAGCAAAGGCATAGCCAGCACCACCAGCAAGCATGGGAAGGCGCCACTCACCGCGTTCTCTCATACATACCGATTCCTTTAATCAAGTGGCAGTTTGGAAGGTCTACAGATTCGACTTCTCTGGAGGCTTTAAGTCGATTTCTGGTGAAAAAGAAAAAGAAAACCATTTGTGTATGTGTTTCCCTGATTCATCTCAGAAAGGTTTTTAAGTGGTGTAGAGCGAGCCATAAAGGAGATGAGAGAGAGGTGAGCTCAAGTGTAGGGACATACAAAGCACAAGAAATAACACAGAGCCCTCAGCTCCCCACATGGGCAGAGCTGGAACACAGAGCTGTTGACTCAATAAATAACACTTGCTTGCAGTTTCCTGAGAAAATATAAACAGAGCATCAGCCATGTAGTCTCAGGGCTCTATCCTGGGAAGGGAGGACAGGTGTCCAGACAAAAGCCCAATGTTCTGCTGAAGACACACATGAGGAAAAATGACGGTGACCCTCTCACTGTAGGGAGAAGCTACCAAGAGAAAATGGCTGCGGGAGGTGCCGTGCACAGTGAGCTGGGACAGAGGCTACAGGTGCCTGCTGCCAAGCCTGGCTTGCTGAGTTCCAGCCACAGGACTCACACAGCGGAAGGAGAAAACATTGCCACAGGTTGTCCTCTGCCTCTATATTGGTATCTCTATATTCACCCCATCATGCTTACAAAGTAAAGATATGAATGAATTTCAAAAAGAAAGAAAGAAATGAGGATGTGGCCCCATTGGTAGAGTCTTTTTGTGACTCGCACAGAGCCTTGAGTTTGCTCTTCAGTGTGGTGGCACATGGCTTCCATCCCAGGAGGTGGAGCCAGGATGACCAGCAGTCCGGGTTCGTCCTTGAGAACATAGAGAGATGGAGATCAGCCTGTGATGCATGTATGTCCTCACTATTAAGAACTTTAGAAGAAACTAGCAACTTCTCAGAACCTGACACACAGCAGGGACTCAAAAATAGTTAATATGGAATTTACAGTTTCCATCCTTCACGATAGTATTTTGGGGTACTGGAAGTTTGGAGAAGAACAGTAATAATTGTAACTAATAGAATTACTCTCTGAAGTGCACACATTGTGTTGTGGGGGTTGTTTAAGGAAAACACAGAAGCAATAACAAAGGAAGTGGGTTATCTCCTACTTCTCTTCCTTCCAGAGACCTGCCATGCAGTCTGGGCCAGCACACATGGAAACTTTTATTTTGAAGGCCACATGTCGTCGCCCCCCCGCCTCCCCCCCTGCCTTCTGCTCCCCTTCTCGTGTTCTGGTTCTCTGTCTGTTCTGCAGCCTGCAAACTGACAAATGGGCTGCAAGGAATGCTACACTTCCAATGTGGTTTCCACAAGCCGTACATTTCAGAGTCAAAGTAGCAATTGGCGCTGTGCTCCTCTGTCCCAGCCTCGGACCATCTGCCTCTATGAAGAAGGGGCTTAGCCAAAAGGAAGGATGTCTGGGTCTAGACAACCCAGAACCTATGGAGCCATGCCAACTACACGTTGTGACTGTTCACAGCCTATGTAAAGTTTACAGAAAAATGCTTTAAATTTATTATTATTGTATGTGAGGAGAATATCTGTGTTGGGGGGTGTGCAAGCAGGTCTTACAAGTATGTATGAGGAGGATCTGGTTCTCTCCTTCCACCTTGACACAGGTGCCAGGGATAGAATTCACCATGTCAGGCTTGTAGGGTAAGCACTTTCCCATCTGGGCCACCTATCTGATGCCAAAATAAAATGATACAATCAAATAATATTGCATTCCTTGAAATGCAGCCATAAAGCAAATATATACTATGTGAGTATGTAAATGCAATAAAAATACATTAAATAAGTAAAAGTTTTTAAATGAATAATAGACTATAATAAATCTCAGTTCCGCATGTTTCTAGGGCAATATAGGAGGCAAATGAAACAACAACAAGAAGAAATATAATAATTGAAGTAGCTTTTGCAAGTACCGATAAAATGATACCAGTGGTCATGGCAATCAAAGGAAAGAATAGTAAAAATATCTATAATTTGCTATGGGTCTAAGTTGGTCAATGTTTTATCCGATATGCCTCAGTGAATTCATTCAATTCTTCAACTAACCCAGTGAACTGTGTACCATAAGGCCCATCTCACATATGATAAAACCACCTCAGAGAGACAGAAGCAAGCTTCCTTGAAGCTGTTTGACAGCCCTTGCTCTTCTCCTGGTTCTTTCCTCAGACAAGACCTGGATTCTTGGGTTATTAGTACCACACAGCCAGGACCCCTTTCAGGTCAGTGACTCCCTGCAGGTCTTAGTCATCTTCACCAATACAGTAAGGATGAACCTAGAAAACTTCCAGATTCCACCAATGCCATGTGACTGCAGAGATGCACAGTTACATCTGGTGAACAGGCTCTAGGACACATCCTGTATCGTCGTCACGGCTGCTGATTTCATACAAGTGGTTTATGAAGCCTGCTATACAATAAGGATGATGGCAGAGCCCACAAACCTTTTTAAAGGTGAGCCGGAGGACCATTAAGTCAATAAACTGTGTAGTTAAATGCAGTCTATCCTAGGTAGCAGGTTCTGGTGTACTGTTACTTAAAGGGCCATTGTCAACTAGGTTAGTTTTACCATGCTATCTTTAAAGATGTAATCTATCTACTAATAATACTGTAGAGCTACATGACTTTCAGCTAACCAAATAATTTTCACCTGGCTCTCCTTTATTAGGAAAGGAAAAGGAGATTTGCTTAAATCCTCCATGGTCCAGTTGCTCCAGTAGGTAACTGCTAGCCATTTTTCCTAGAAGGGCTCTCTGCCCCTGCCAGCTAGTAGACTTGTGTAACCCCAGATGCTATGGCTTCTAAAACCAACGCTGCTTCTACTTCTCACCCGTCTTCCATTGTCTTCCCCCTCTAGAGGTGGGAAGACGCTGATCTTTTTGTATTTAGGTGTATTCAAAGGAGTTGAGTTTTGAAAGAAGAATTGTTCCTCACAGGGAATGCACAAAAAGACAGTCAGCTACCATCCTTCCCTCCACTACAACTGAATCACATACACAGTGCTTGGCACGACCACAGCCATCCTGTACTCTTGAGAAGGATGAGGCTGTAAAGTCAAGGGGGAATGATTAAATCACACAAATGCACAAACAATCCAGTTCTTTGATTTCCACGTGGTTTCTCAACGCAGAAGTAAAATTACTAGTCCAGACTGTAGGGTAAACAGCGCTTTCAGTGGATTTGGTCTATCTGGCCATGAACTTTTAACTGACAGCCATCAACAGGAAATCAATCTCCTTTTCATTCTGAAGACAGCAGTCCCCACCTAGACTGGATCCTGACAGAGGACTGTTAGATGCCATCTCACTTGAAGACAGGTAGCAGTAAGACAGCAACACCATGGTGCAGTGTTCTCCTAGTAAAGGGAACCCTGCCACCACCAGCCAGACCTTTTCTCTTCACCCTAACTCACTGCCTTTGAATTTTAAAAAGTTGACAGGGTTTTATCTTCTGTGAAGCCCTTTGGAATTCACTAGGTAAGTGAACACTGGGGAATTTTGCTCAATCGCATAGAAGCCTGGAAGCCATGTGGGAACTGGGCCATAGGGTACTAGAAACTGAAGAGATGGTCTAGAGAGGTCCTAAGGAATTCCCCAGTGGGCTCACCAGCTAATCTCTCCAGAAGTCAGTTATTTACATGTGAATTAGAGAAATATATCTAAGAAGATATGAAGGCAAAAAAGTAAAAGGGCATTCTCCCCAAGTGTTCATAAATCTAACCTCGGGTTGGGGACATAGATGATCTGGAGGCAGGCTTGCCTAGCACACACATAGCCTTGATTTTGGTCCCTAGCTCCGCATGAACTAGACTTGGCTGCACAAGCTTGAAATCCCAGGACTCAGCAGATAAAGGCAGAAAGACCAGGACTTAAAGGTCATCTTGAGCTACATAAGAAATTTGAGGCCAACCTGGACTAAATGAGAACCTGTATTTTTTTCCTTTTAAATGTGATTTATTGTCTGATATAAAGAAGTTCTACTCTTATTTAATGTATGTGTATGCATGTATGGTATATTGTGGGGGTTTATTTGTGTATATATGTGTACATGCATGTGCAGAGGCCAGTGGTCAACCTCTATTGTCTACCTCTATAGCTGGCCATGTAATTTTTTTTGAAAGAGGATCTCCCACTGGACTTAGAACTCACTGATTGGCTGAACTGGCTGGCCAATGAGCTTCATTCAGGGTACCTGTCGCTGTTCCTCATTCTCACCCTGTGCTGGGTTGACAGATGGACACTCACGTTGATGCTGGGGACCTGAACTCGACTTCATGATTGTCCTGTGGTCACTTTACTGACTGAACCATCTTCCCACCCAAGGAGTTCTAGACCTCGGACAAAGTGAGCAGCACATTGTAGTCGCATAACAAACGGTGAGGAGGAAGAGGGCAAAACAGAACTAAAAAGGTTGTGCCTTCTGAAGTAGTCTGATGGAAACCCTAGAACTTTCTGTGAGAGCTGTGATAAAAGGCATCTGACGTCATCTGCTGAGATATCTCACTGGATACAAGGACATGCTACTCAATCATACCTGGGACTTATTTCCAGAACCTAAAGTAGATAGGGAGAACCAACTCCCAGAAGTTGTCCTCTGACCACATACACACCCATCACACACAAATACACAAATGACAACAACAATATTTTTTGTAAGTTTTGAAGGTACAAGCATCCAAGCAAACTGTTGAAACTTGTGTCTTAGAGTTCCTGCCAATGCTTTGTTCTTTAGTGTACTAAAGCCTCATGACTCGTCCAAGTCTGTCTTAGCAAGAGACAGCAGCTAGCCTGGGAGTGCTGGCCTACTTCTACTTTCTCCTCTGTTGCTCAAGAAGGGAGGGGCAGAAAGGGTGACAACGGAGCAGCATCCTTCCCGGGGAACCTTATCCAGCTACAGCTCAGTGGGATAAAAGACAACGTTAATGGCATTTATCCACTGGGGACAAACTTAACCAAAATTTATCCATTGTCTATCTAAAACGCTGGTTGAAATTTAAATGGGCATCCTGGGAGAGAGAAACAGCTTGACAGCCAAAGTCCCATTGTTAATAGTTGAAAAAGCAGATAGAAGGCACTAGTTAGAGCAAAAGGAGCAGCACCATAGAGCAGTCGTCACCCTTACCCCTTGCTCTGAAGAGCCTTCCCAGCAGGGGCTCAGAGCACCCTGCTTCTTGAAGCAGGGTCTGAGAGGGGCAGGTTGCATTTGATCTTGTCACCACACTTCAGGCAGGAGACTCGGGCTATGGTTCTGTCACAGGGTCACCTTAGTCAATTCAGAGTGCCTAGTTGAACCTGCCTTTAGTGTAACGATATCACAAACTGCACGCTTACACTCAAAATGTGTTGTATGTACATGGTGCTAAGAAGGATGGGGGCTGCTGACATGGCTCACTGGGAAAAGTGCTTCCCGAGCCAACACAAGGACCTGAGTTTGATCCTTAGCACACATGTGAGAGTTGTACACAGTACTGGGGCGACAGAGACGGGGGATCCGTGGAGTCTACTGGCCAGCCAGGCTAGCGGAACCAGTGAGCTCCTGGTTCAAAGCATACATGCAGAAGAAAGTAATTGAGTAAGACAGGCAAAGTTCATCTTCAGCCTCTGAGTGTGTGCGCACATGTGTACGCTCACACACACACACACACACACACACAAATACATAAAGTACAAGCATACATGTAGCGTACACACAAATGAAATGGTTCTCTGTTTATCCGAAAGTCAAATGTAACTGGTAAACATGATTGTTTTGGGGGGTTGGTACAGGGAACAATCTAACACTGACCCCTCCACACACACACTCTTACATCAGTCTCTTTGGGGCTTCAACTAGCCAATAAAGTCACCAGCTACAAAATCCCTGCTCATCAAAGTTTACCTCAGTCAGGGATTTGTAAAGAAAGTTCGCACCAAGCTGTAAACTACCTACCCTCTGAATTCACTGTGTGTGTGTGTGTGTGTGTGTGTGTGTGTTGGTATGGGTGTGGTATAGTGTATATGTGTTGTATATATGTTGATGCGGATGTATGTATACATGTGCATACATGTAGAATTGCTCTCCAGAGACAGCCTGGGATTACAGGCATGCATGGCCCTGTCTGATTTTTACATGGGTTCTTTGCACCACAAGCACTCACCACTAATTACCAGCCACATGGGTTATTGTCTATGTTTCCTTTTCTTAAATTTGAAACTATGCTTGTCACTCAGAGGGTCTTAAACTTTGGACTTCAAGGTTAGTAAGAAAGGGGGTAAGCTGACTAAAAAATTCAGCTTGTGGAACACACTAATGATTTAACCATTAGTGGCCACGGGATGAGCCCAGGAATTTTTGTGTCTCGTTCTTAATACTGAAAGCACAAAATCACTTAACTCCTAAGACCTCAAAAGCACAGCAAATGAAACAAGAGGCTACCTCAAACTGGAAAGCTTCCGCTGAATGAAACAACCAATCAACCAACAGATTTAAGAAACAACCCACAGGATGGGAGGATACATTTGTGATACACTTGATAATAAGCAAAACCTGTGAGAAACTTGCATAACTCATTAGCAAAACAAAGTAAGAGAATAAACAGAAACCCAAATGAGCAAACGCCCTCAGCAGAGGTATCTTAGAAGACAGATGATGGCCAGTGTGCTTATGAAGAAAGAACCAACTCACTAGTCATCAGGGAGAAGCAACTCAAGCTCTCCAAGAGAAACTATCTTACTCTAGTCAGAATGAGAGCTGCCAAAAAGAGATAGAGCAACAGTTTGCACATCTCTATCTGTACTGGAGGTTGAGCATGGTCCCGCATAGGCTGGTACTCTCCCACTGAGCCACACGCCCTGTTCCTTTTAAAATTCTGGGTGACAATGTAAAATGCAATGCCATTGTGAAAAAAAATAGGAGATGCCTTAAAATTTGTTTAAGTAGAAGTACCATAATAGATTCCACATACATCAGCACTGGATATATATCCAAAGGGAATGAAACCCCTGCTGAAGAGATGCTTGCATTTGGATAGTTTCTTAGCACTATACACAACAGCTCCCAAATGGAAACTCCCTAAGGGCCCAGCAACAGAGACAAGGAAAAGGGCCTTGTGGTAGACATATAAAATGGATGCGATGGAATGCTATTTGGTGAGGGTAACACAGAAACAAGGTGCTGCATGTCGGTAATGCTAGTACTGAGGAGACTTGAGAGAAGATTTTCAGGACACAGATGCCAGTCTTGGATAGAGGGGGGAAGGAGGGAGGGAGGGGGAAAAAGAGAGAGACAGAGAGACTGTCTTAAAAAACCAGGAGGGATGGAGGGCAGGCAAGGAAGGAAAATGGAAAAGTTCACAGGTATGTGTGAAAATGCCTAACAGAAGTTGAAGTATAACTGTGGTTCCTAGGCTAAAAATGAGCCACTGATGGAAGAGACTGGCCAAAGGGTACAGTTCTGTGATGGGAGGTAGGAGCATTGGTTTCTGCTGCTGTCTTCAGCAGTGCAGTGACTATACAATAGTGTGTACTTCAAACTAGGAAGAAAGGCATTTTCCTATTCTCATCCGAAAAATAAGAGAGAGCAAGTGCTTAAGGTATGGCTGTGCTAATCATTACAGGTCATATATATAGATATATATATATACACACATGTGTATATACATATACATATATTTATACATTTGAAACATTAACATTGTAGTCCATAAATATGTACACTTAATGTATATCCATCAAAAACAAAACATGGCCCAAACCCATCTAATGCACGAACGTTCTGCATAGCCATTACAATCAAGGCCAGCATTGCCATTCCCTACCACAGGCTTAAGCATTCCTCCTTGTTCCAATGGTTCCCCCCCTCACACACACACACTCTTCACATTGCCTTATCACCAAGCGATGCTGCAGCTCTGGGAAACTGGAATTATCTTGCAAGCCATATTTTCACTTTGGCCTTGTCTCTCATTTCTGGGGATGCAGTCTGGGTCTCCTTTATCATTTCCAGCCTTCTGTGATGCTTTAACTGTTTTCCCCATATCTAGTCCAGTAGCTCTCAATGCTAATGACTCACACAATGCACAAGAATTACCAGGACAGAGAGGTGCTCTGTGCTTTGATTTTGTAGTGTGGTGCTGGGGCTGGAACTTTAAGCTTCATGTATGCTGAGCAAGTGATCTATCACTGAGCTACACTACAGATCTTTAGGAAGGAACTAAACATCACAGAAAAAAAAATCCTGTATATCGTAGTGGTGTGTAACTGTAATAGCAGCAAGTCAGGAGACCAAGAATCCTGAGTTTCAAGACTAGTCTGAGCTCCAAAACACAGGATGATACATAGTGAGACTTCATCTCAAAACCAAGAATTAAATTTTTAAAAAGCAAACAAAAAACTGAAGGCCTTAGCCCCACCCCTAACCAACCAATAAACACTAACATTCCCCTTTTGCCGATCTGAGAGTCCAAACTGAAGCCTCAAACACTGTCCTCCACTTGCTGCTCTGACACCTTCCCCAACATGGCCTCGTTGCTGGCAGTGCAGGGGACAGTCTGCTTCACGCCCCCCGACCCCCCCCAACCCCCAGCTATCAAATTGCTCTTCCTTCCAGAACACCTTCAGAGGGCGGCTTCTTTTCTCTTTGACCCTATAAGGAGTCCATTTTCCTGTTTTGGACAACCAGTTCCGGTATTTTTCTCCTGTATCAAAAAGGAATTCATCCAGGGTTCCCAGTTCTCTACAGGAACCTGAGGCAAGCGAATACCTACTACCTAGTAGACACTCAAATGTTCTGGAACTCCTTTACAAGAAACTTATACAGTTTGAATTGGTAACGTGAAAGCCTGATGTCTACCCAGAAGGTTTTCCCTGCAGTTAAAATGTGACCATCGCTCGCTCTAGTCCTGGAGTTCTGGCGAATAAATAAGGAAATGATGTAAGAACAGTAGATGTCTCTCTCAGTCTTCTTTGATCTCCAGAACCCAGACTGGAGCACTGAAGTTTCCCCAACTATTATGCTGGAGAGACATGGGTTCCGGCTGCGGAGAAGAGCACCAGTGACCTGAAATAAAGCTGTATAATTAGAGTGCCCACGCATGAGTAATGGTTTTGTTTTCAAATTAAAGCACTGGGTTTGCCCTGGGGAAATTTGCAAAGCTCTCTCTTGTCGGCCTAGGCAGAGGAACCTCGTCACCAGCCAGCCAAGGCTGGGAAAAACTTTTCACAAAGTGTCTAGGTCGTGGTGGCGGCGGTGGGCTGGGCCGGCTGAATGGGACACCAGTGATGATCCAAAGTTCTTCCCTGGGACCCGTTCCCAGAGCTACATAAGCTCTATCGCCAGTGTCTTCTCCCCCGCTCCCCCCCCCCTTCCCCCAAGCAGCTCGGCCATCCCAGACTGAGGATCTTCGACCTGGGATCCTCGGCAGCACCTACCTGAGCGCCAGGAACCGCTCGCCCAGCAGCGCCAGCCCGATGCCCAGCAAACTCAGAGCCACCAGTCGCCCCATGGCGCGGGACCCGCCCGCCGTCTGGTTCCGGCCTGGCCGGGCTGCATGGGACGCTGGGCCAGCTCCCCGCCCCGAGCGCAGGGCCGCGCCCGCTCCCCGCCCCGAGCGCCGGCTGTGCAGCCCAGACTCCGCCCGGCGCCGCGGCCTCGGAGCACAGCCGCACATGGCCGCGTGGGAACCCGACTGAACTGCCTGCTTTTAAAACGCCCCACGCGCCGCTGCACCTGCCCATCGCCTTGAGAAACTTTGGGGTGACCTCTGTGGAGTTTGCTTGTCTTAGTCAAGTTTGGGCTCTGCTTTTATTGTTTTGGTTTGGTCTTTGGGGGGGATTCCCCCCTCCTTTTTAAATTTATTTTTGGTTTTGTGACTCTAGGAATCAAACCCAGAACCTTGTCCATATCAGGCAAATACTGAGCCACATCGACAATCATAGAACAGTTTTGCTGTGGGATATGTGTGTAGTACATCCACATTATGTAATAGTAAATAATATAGAAAATGTATTAAACATTGTACATTAAGTATATCATATGTATTAAAATTGTACTTTTTTTCTTCCCTTTTGTTTTTAAAACAAGGTCTCATGTAGTCCAGGCTGGCAATGAACTTCTGAGCCTCCTGCCTCCAAATGCCAAATGCTTGGGCCACTCATGGCGCCCCGTTGAGCAATATGTTTTGGTTTAGATTTTTTTATTTCATATGCGTGGATGTTTTGTTTTCATGTGTGTATGTATGCCACATCCATCCTGTTGTCTATAGAGGTCAGAAAAGGGCGTCCAATACCGCAGGAAGTGTAGTCAATGTTCTTAATGCTCAGCCATCTCTCCAGCTATGATGTTTCAAATATTCCTTTCCTTGTTTTGTTTTTTTTTTTTAGTTGAAGAAAGAAAAACAGTTGTGGACAGGCCTTTCAAAAACTTAGAAGTGGAATTACACCCTTTTTTATTAAGATTTATATTAGGCTAAAATCCCCCAAATTCAGAATTCATTGGAGTATTAGTAAATTTTCTCTCCTTTCTCCCTTTTCACTTTAATACTCATATTTATATACACTTACATTTTGATACTCATCAAGAAACAAAAAATATAAAGAGGGAGCTTACTCACTGAGACTAGAACAGCTGCTGGCTGTAACTGAAATAATCTGAAATGAGTTTCTTCTTGTTTCCAGTGTTTAATTGCCACCTGCAACATGTAGAAAGAAGTTAAAATCAGTGGATTCTTAAGGAACGTCCTTCTTTGACAGTGTCTTGTTATTGTAGCCTAGGCTGACCTTGAATTTGAGGCTTTCTTGTCTAACCCTCAAGAGCATTACTAGCATATGCTGCCGCATCAGGCCAAACTTCTCTTTGTAACCATCAAGGAAAAGCGGATGCCAGCTTGTACCTGGCCCCTCACTACAGGGAAAAGAAAAAGATCTCTCTGTGCCACACATCTGTGACCAGCCCAAAGGGACCCTCGGTTGTATCTGATGGCCGACGGAGAGGAGAGCTGAACAATTGTGCTTTCTAAGTCCCAGAGGCTGTATCTTTGATGTATCCTCCACTACAGATACTTTTGCAAAATAACTTTGCTAGTGCACACAATTAGATGTGTGGGATTGAAAAAGAAACCAACTACATTAAAATGTGATTATTGGAGTATTTGAAAAATGCATTCCTGTCAGAAAAATATAGGAATGCCACACCCCCTTTACACCCTGGTATGGACACCACCTTGTGCCCTTCCTTAATGTTAGGTATGACCTTTAACACCTCAAATAAAAAGCTCTAGAAACATTCTTTCAAATGAAGACAAAGGGCAGGGTTGGTGACCAAGTGCAATCTCCCCATGAGACTGATGCAGAGACTGCAGAATATTGCATTTAAAACTAGTCTAGACCAGAAAAACACTCTAATGAGGATAATCCTGTTATTTAAAGATATTGTAACAACTATAATGAACTGTGAAGCTGTTACCTCCTTTGGTAACAAGGTTTCATTAATATTTTTTTACATTCATAAATAAAAAACTTACAAAATTTCCTCTGAAATCCGGTCATTTTTTTATTTTTTTCTCCTTCATCTAAAATTATCAATAGGTCTAAACTAACTTCCTTCCTTCCTTCCTTCCTTCCTTCCTTCTTTGGGTTTTTCTTCCCTTCACCAACAACCTGACTCTAAAATACACCCTCAGATCCTTCTAAATTGTCCATGGTTCTCTTCGTCTGCAACTTAGGACTGACTGGATAGACAGGTATGGAATTCTAGTATCTGTGCCATGAATCAGCAGGGATGGGACCTCCCAATTATGGTCAGTACTTGTAAAGGTGTTGAGCTGCTACCTAAGTCCCTGGCTTAAGTCTGAGAATTTGTTCAAGGGTTCCTGGGTAGTCTGGGAGGTACATAAACATATGCATAGTGTACTGTGAGGTGAGAACCAGGGAGTGCACCTTCCCACACATCCTAAAACGAAGTCCCAGATCATGAAGTTTACCTAATTCTATGCTATTCTTAAGGTCTAGGGAGATACCAATAAGCTGGTTGATCCTTAGAGTCTTTCTCACCAAGCTCAGGCTTGCCCTCAGTGTTTCTGGCAACAGCTGGGGAACAAGGATTCACTGGCTGACTTCAGTCAGGACGATACCTATTGATGACTTGTTGCTCTGTGAACAACATTCTGGGCTTCAGCACACATCTCAGAGGAGCCGAGAGAAACCATGCTTTCCTTACTTAGTTTGAAAGACTTGTTTTAGTTATACGTGTCTGTGTACCCATGGGTGCAGGTGTCCATGGAGGCCAGAGAGGGTATTGGATTCCCTGGAGTGAAGTTACAGGTGGTTGTTTGAGCCATACAAGGTGTAAACTGGGACCAGATCCCAGGTCTCTGAAAGAGCAGCAAATTCTCTTAAGTCGTGCTTTGATTCACTAACATAGCCAGTGAGGTCAAGGTCATTCTATTCTATACTCTTCATGTGAACAGTCCTGTTCACCACACCCTCTTTCTGAATGTTGCAATGTAAAGCAGTTTCTTTTGAAGAAGTCCCCACAATTATACATAACCATTGGGCATAACCACCAGCATTTCTTATAAGCAATGTTTTGTTTTTGTTTTTGTTTTGTCTTTTTTTGTTTTGTTTTGGACATCAGAAACCCAGCTTCTCCATACACAATTTCTGGTTAATTACTGAATTTCTTGAATAACTTAACTATCCTCTGAGACGTTGGTGATCTACCCCCTGTTTGCATGGTTTCCGACTACCAAATAACTAGGTTATTCAGTACAAACCAAAGTTGTATCAGAACCTTCTTGTCTATGACAAGTCCCGATGCTGCATAGGAAACAGAGTGTCTCAGTGCTGTGGCTGCTTTGTAATTAGAAATTTGCTGTCCTTAAGAAAATTTCAAAAAATAATAACGACAACTTATTATCAATGCTTTTCAGTTTTTGTGGGGGGAAGGACAGGTTTTTCATGACCTTTGTAAAAACACAATGAAAGTGAATGACTGGAAAAATGAAAGCTCAGATCTTTCATCTCTGCAGACACAAATTTTTAGACTCTCACTCTCAATTTTTCCTGTTTTTCTCACTGTGGGCCAGAAACAATGGGTTCCCAGACTGTAATGGTCTTGGCAGCACATGGCCTTTCATGGCCATGCTTACAACATTCCATCCCATTGTGATTTTTTGTGGTCTTTGCTGAGCCTTGTCATAGATATGGTTGATGGGGGTTTGTGTAGAGGGACCCAAGATTCTGGTCATTTTATTCAATGTGTGACAGGAAGTTTCTAACCCACAGTCCTTTTTCCTTTCCCTTGCCTATGTTTCAAAAATGGGGAAAGATATTTGTGTGTATCTGTGTGTGTGTGTGTCTGTGTGTGTGTGTACACGCCTGCATGAGCATGAATGCACACACACACACACACACACACATAAATCCACTGAAAAGATGTTATAAAGAGGTGGTTCTTACAGAAAGAGAAACGTTTGCCTCTCCAATACTTCACTCCAGGGCTTCACAGAGGGTAAAGGCTATCTCCCTGCAGCCAGGAGATTTTTCAGTACATTAAAAAGTAAAGCCCAATATGCTTGAGGCTTGGGATCTATCCCCAGCAGTAGAAAAAAAAATAAGAAAGAAAACAAGAAATGCTATAACTGACGCATGAAGATCACCACAACATATTTTCAAATACTTATGGTCAGCAAATGAATGTCCTCACGTGCTGTTACTGGCTAGGGTCTGGATCAGGTCCGTTTCCTCTGCTATGTAAGGAATTAGAAGGAAGGAAAACTCTTGCGCACAGCAGGTGGTAACAGGAAGTCTCAGCTGATGAAGAAAGGGGAAACTCACAGACCAGCAAGGCACACAAAGAGAAAGAAGGTCTCTGCAAAGTAGAGTGGGGTTCTAGAGCCCCAAATCTGCTCTCTCTTTGGGAGACTTAAGAGTCTGTGTCATGTCTTCTTTCCTTCAATAAAGATGGAAAGCTGGCGGGCCCACAGCTTTGAAATACACATGTTGTAATCTAGCCTTGAACTTGTCAGCACAGGCAGCGATCCTCCAGGAGAAAAAGCTTCCAGGCCTTTGTTTCTGATCAGGAGTGTGAGGGAAAAGTCTGGAAGTTTGCCATCCTTATTACTCATCTGCAGCCCCTCTCCTTACCTGTCTGCGTTTCAAGGAACTGTCTAACTCCTAGTCCCTCAATAAGAAGCTGGAAAAAATGAACTTGCTTGTAGAAGTCAAAAGCATAAATATAAAATACAATGTAATATGCTAGTCACGAAGTAATTATTTATTGAAAACAGCTATTCCTGGTGGAGTGACCCAAGTTTTAAATTAATATTTTTAGATCTATATAGATTTATGATACATATTCATATGTTAATTTAATTAAATTAATTTAAAAATCTGAAAGTCAGTCTTGAAGGGTTTTGAGAATTTGAAGCTTAGGCAAGAAAGGACATATGTCTTCTGAGACTCAACCATATTTCTTCATGTCTGTCTTTACCTTTTTTTCTTTCCAGTATTTTCAATTCCTGAAACCCCAAACTTCATATCCTTGTGTTATTCTAGGAGGGAAATATATATATATGGAGAGAGAGAGAGA